CCCTAAAAGTGGGTAAAGATGAAACCATAGACCCTCCCATCCAAGAAGCGTGTTGGCGGTTGCTGGCGAAGACAAGAGTGACTCCCGCAGGTGCAGTAGCAGCAGCAGCAGCAGCAGCAGCGGCAGGAGCAGCAGCAGTGTCCGCAGCAGCAGCAGCAGGCGCAGCAGCAAGAGCAGCAGGAGCAGCAGCGGGATCTGGAGGTTGCAGCGCTGCCGCGCAGCTGCCGTTGCTGGCTCCTGCTGCTCCGCTGCTGCTGCTGCTGCTGCTGCTGCTGTTTAGACTCAGGGAAAGCAGCTCTTGAAGCATTCTTTGCTGCAGCCCCTGCAGCAAAGAACCTCCTCTGCAGAAGACAATGTGGGGTGTCAGTGCAGGTGCGAGCGAGGTGTCTATACACCTGAAGGCCTTCACAATTATATCCGTCAAAGTTGCTGCTGGCAGCAGCTGCGCGTCGCTCCAGCCCGCGCTGCTGCTGCTGCTGCTGCTGCAGCTGCTGCTCTCTTTCTCGCGGTTTGCTTCTTCATTTGACTCTTTATTTCCATTTATTTCTTCTTTTTTTTCTTTATTTTCTTTTTCGCCACTTAAAGACCCGAAACTTCCGAAGTAGACTTCCGCCGGCAGCCGCCGCGCGCAGCCGTCGAGCTGCGCAGACACCCCACGGGCGAGCTCGACTCGTGAATTCCATTTTGGGTTTAAATGCGGAAATATTTAATTAAATAAATTATTTGATAATTTAAAAATATAATCATTTATTTATTTCTCTGTTTTCGGGGTTTATGTCTTCGAACGGCGGCTTTTTGTTGCTGCTGCTCGCGTAGAAAACCTAAACCTAGACCCTAAACCCGAAACTCTAAACCCTAGACCCTTTTTCAGGGTCTGTGCTGCACTCGCCTCAATGAATGTGCCGTCTGGCAGCTCTAGGGTCTTTTCCCCTTCATCTTCGTCCTCCTCGTCCCTAGAAAACGTACAATTTCTGCTGCTGCTGCTGCTGCCCCTGCTACTGAAGGGTTTGGGGTGTACGTACACCAGACTCGCCTTAGCAGCCTCCAGCTGCTCAGGCGCTAACCCCCCAAACCCTTTCTTTCTCAGTTCTTCTTCAAAGGCAGCAGTCACGTCGGCGCCTGCTCATAAACGCCGAATCAGGGTTTAGGGTTTAGGGTTTAGGGTTTGCTTCACAGCCAGCAGCTCCACCGAGTCCAGCTGATCTCACGACTGCGCTCTAGGGTTAAGGGTTTAGGGTTGGGGGCCACATAAGAAGAAGCCGTACGAAGAAGTGCAGCGTAAGGCCTGACTGGCTTAAGCCCCGGATTAGGGTTTAGGGTTTAGGGTTTAGGGTTTACCGCCGACGGGCATTCTGAAGGTGGCGTGGGGCAGCTCATAGAAATCAAGAACTGGAACAGCACTAGTTATTTTATTTCCCATTTCCACTGCTATGCCTCGGCTTAACCCTAAACGACAATTAACACAATTGCTGCTGCTGCTGCTGTTGCTGCTGCTGCTGCTGCGGCGGCAGCAGAGTGAGCGCCGCGGCGTTCCCCGGTAGCAGCCGAGAAAACGAAGTCAGTGAGGCAGCAGCAGCAGCAATAGCACTTTTGCTGCCACCCGCAGCAGCACTTCCAGCAGCAGGAGAGCAGCAGCAGCAGGGAAGGAGCAGCAGCAGGAAAGCAGCAGCAGCACGAACAAAAGCCACAGCAGCAGGTGCAAGAACCCGACAGCAGCAGCAACAGCAGCAAAACGAATAATATCAACAACACCAACAATAACCGCATTATCTTCATCAACAGCAGCAGCATGTTCATCACGAGCAGCAGCAGCAACAGCAGCAGCAGCAGCAGCAGCAGCAGCTACCTGCAGCAAAGAGCCCCATGGGCGCCCTCGGCAGCAGCACAGCTTCGCTGCAGTTGAGCTTCTCAAAGGCGACGTCTAGAATTTGCTGCTGGCAGCTGCGGCTAGCTAGCGAGCTGCAGCAGAAAGCAAGGGTTGCTGCTGCTGCCGCATCGTTGCTGCTGCTGCTGCTGCTGCTGCTGCTCCCCAGCGTGCTTTCTATGCCGCAAGAAATTGTCTCCAGCAGCTGGTCGCAGCTGCTGCCTGCAGACCAACAGACTCCTCAGCCACTAGCCAGCTAGCTAGCTAGCTAGCTAGCTGGCTAGCTAGCTAGCTAGCTAGCTAGCTATATTGCTACTAGCATTATTACGTAACCCCCTTGCTGTCTATCTAGCTGTCTAGCTAGCTAGCTAGCTAGCTAGCTAGCTAGCTGGCTAGCTAGCTAGCTAGCTAGCCAGGCAGGTAGCTAGCTAGCTAGCTAGCTAGCTAGCTAGCTAGCTAGCTAGCTAGCTAGCTAGCTGGCTAGCTAGCTA